AAATGCCACGATTGAGAAAGATCGAATACTAGATTTGAAACCATGAGATTATTGTGTCTATTTTCCTATTATTAATGGGGCTTTCCCTATTAAATCTAAAGTAATTAATGAAGAAAATGTATTACTTTTGACCTACTTTCGTGTGTCTAGATATGTAGATCTTTTGTTTCTCGATTAGTTTTGACTTTCTCTTTACGTATTTTTTCTTTCTAATTAGTTACCATGTTAATTGTTATTTTAAGTTTGTTTTTATTTTTTGTTTTCTTATATCTTCATTTTCCATTTTTAACGTATGTCTGTAATAATTTTCATTAATATAACGGATAACGTATTTGTAACAATTTGCATTAATATAATATATATCTGATTGTAACAATTTACATTATTGTAACTTATATTGGATTTTAACAATTGGCATTAATGTAACTTATATCTGATTGTAACAATTTTCATTAATATAACGTATATCTGTAACAATTTGCATTATTGTAACGTATATCTGCAATATTTTGCATTAATGTAACGTATATCTGATTGTAATCATTTTAATTAATATAAAGTATATCTAATTGTAACAATTTTCATTGACGTAACGTATATATGATTGTACCAATTAACATTAATATCATATCTTGGTTCATTTCGGTGTAAAGAGATCAAAAAAATTTATTTAGTATCAAGCATTAATGAATTAAATTATGATATTTGAAAAACTGCATCGTCTTCGCATGTGTCATCTAAATAAAAAACATAAATATACAAATATTTTTCACTCAAATTTTGTATATATATATATATATGAAATGGGCAAAGTCCGGCAATTATTTTAAGACATTTTTATGATTATACATTCTTTTTCAAGATACAAATATTTAAGTAAATGCTCTGTTTTATAATAAACAGAATTAATAACATTTACAGGCCTGAATGTCCAAGAAATTTTCATAGAAAATATTCTTTCTCCGACAGAAATCGAACCTGTATCATATACGAAACCGTCATATAGCCTGACGTGACTTAACCGATTAGGCCACAGAGGAGCGTTCGGTTAGCAAGGTCGATTTTACTGTTTTTATTATAAAACAGAGCATATACTTAAATATTTATATTTAAAAAATAATTTTAAACATAATTCATATATATATATATATATATATATATATATATATATATATATATATATATATATATATATATATATCAGGAATTGTACATTTAACACATAAACCGCATCTACTTTGTAACGTCAGTTAATTGTATACAACCTGCATTTATATTTATTTAAATAATTATTCAAGTTGAATAAGGGAGTGATGTATCCTTTAGTCTACATAATGAGGACAGAGGGCTTGGAAAATTTAACACTCACGGGATATTTTAAAGGCAATAGGGACAGAGGGAAACAAAATATAACGGACCTAAAGAGGTTGTGTAATTTGATCCATATCACATAGAAGAAGATTTTTAGTGTATTCAGCCTATTTATTCCACTTTTTGTATTGGTAACAAGACCTATAGGTCCATATGTCTAACAAAGTAAAACTGGCCACTGCTTTCGAAAATGACCTCCAATCAGTGATGAATTAGGGCAAATATTGGACTCTCCCGTCCTTTTTTCGATGTATGAGGAGGCAAGAAATTCAATTCCTAAGAACCGACATCCAGACACCAATGATTTGATTATTGTGGTGAAAGCTTTGTGCAGATTTAACACCATTTTTTTGAAGAGCCAAATACAGAGATCTGGTGCACAATGTGCCACAAGGTCCTCAAACGACCCATCGCAGGTTTTGAATTCAGAGTTGTCCTTCTCCTAGACCAGTTGCCATCCAAGGCTATAGAACACAGTCTTTCCTGCTATTTGCCCATAACTGGTGGGAGAAGAAGAGGATTTCCAAAATCATATATCATAACACCTGCAAAACAAAACTGATATTTTTTAATCATCATAAAAAAGCTTTTCTATCTGCCGTTACATGACTGGTGCTAAAATCCAGGTGAACAATAGTCGGCGCCTTTTTGTGTCCGCGTTTTTTACTGACAGGAAGGGGAGTAATTATATTGAATCAATTGTTAGATCTATCATAACTACGAAAGTTTCTTCTCTGAGTCGCGCCAGAGAATTTTTTCTTGTCAGAATCCATCTTACACATTTATAAATCTACCGATTTTTCGTGCATTGAATCCTGCTGCTATATCTGGTCTGGTCTCCAGATTCTTGACAGGATGGTCTTTAATGTAATCGATCCTGATCTGTTATTTCGCCTTCAATAACGTGGCTTCTCTTTGTCTTTTCTATAAATATTTTCATGGCAATTGCTCTGATGGTCTTTCATCTTTGGTGATTCGACCGCAAGAATTTAAGCTTACTACTAGATTGGCAATTAGGTCTCACCGTTTTTCTGATGAATTAGCTAGACGCAACCGCCACTTCTATTCTAATATGTTCTTTACTCGCACTTCTCATCTGTGGAACTTTCTTCCCGTTCCTTGCTTACCTGCCACCTAAAATCTTCAAAATTTTAAATATAACGCCAATCGTTATCTTCTTCGTTTAAGGACAGGCTTCATTTTTTCTTTCCCAGAATCCTATTCTTTTATTGTCCTTTCTCTTCACTAAATTTTTCTCATTCTCTTCCACTCCCAGTAACCTCTTGCGTCTTAGTGGCATTATCGCCTTGCCTGGGGTGAAATGATTAAAGAAAAAACTATATCTTACGGTATACCATCTTCTCTGATACACTGATGATTTCTTTACAAATAGGATCTGTTCTTGGTCGAACAGGAGGTACGGTGGAGTAATGAATTGAGGAATTGAGTCGAGTTCGAATTTCAGTCGAATCCATTGCATTCACTTACGTGCTAATACTCTTAGGAAAGGTATGAATCCTTTTCTTCTCCCCCTACCTATTGGTAAATAGCAGAACAGACCGGGTTCTATAGACTTGGATGGCAACTGGTCTACTACAGAAATAAATAACAACCTATTGCGGGAAAAAAATCTGCCTTGTCAGTCATGTATTGAAAGATACACGATCGTTTAAGCGTGTATCATGCATAGCACATAACTGACTAATTCGAGGCTTTAATCAAAGCTGAAGTTGTTAATCAAAAAATTTGGATTACGCTTTACCCGGTGTACGGCCATCGCTGAATATGAATATAAAGTTCTTGAAGCTCCTGCTGTGGCTATAGATATCTCAAAAGCGTTTAACAAGGTTTAGCATGCGGGTCTTTTATGTAAACTTTAGGGCTATGGACGATTGTTTGATTTAATACAATCATTCCGATCAAATCATGAAATGAACGATGTCCTGACATATTGGTCGAATTAAATTACATATCCCTTCCTTAAAATAAAGAATTATTTCGGAAGCGAATAAGCAACTCCTCACCAAAAAGGAATAAATGTTTTATTGAATAAATAATTATTCACATTAATTCTTCTTAAATAAATTATTAATATCGTCTTTCGGTCATCTATCTTTAACATACCGCCATTTTACAAAGTTGCTGCCTTGGGCAAAGATGGACTATAATTAAAAAGCAAATCTCTTAAAACCTCCAGTCATTTTCTTAAATAGCCTAATCAGATCGAAACTTTCAGATGGCTATTATACATGGCGCCCAAACCGTTCAGACATGTCTAAACTGACAGCCACTTTCTTAGATCAATTATTAGAAATAACTTCCAGTGAATGAAGCCTGTTGGTCTTAGCGAGGGATCTTAGGAACTGGCGTTACAGAATCACAAAACACTGTACTAAATAGCAGAGACCACATGAATTATGGACTTCCAACCCCAGCAACAACTAAAATCGATAGCATAGAAAAAAGGATAAAATAATCGGGATTTTAATGTCCCACACTACATCGAGGAAATGGTTAGGAAAGAACACTCATCAATACTGGAAAGGCCAATAACAATGAACGTGAGAAACCTATTTCCTTGACAAATCGTTTGAAGAGAAAGATATTAAATATTTCAACTTACTGTAGCACTGGATACTCGGACAATGAATGCCGAATATTTCCACATAAGGAAACGGCTAATCTTACAATTTCCATTAGCATTAATCTGTCATCGACAAACGCAGTGGGTAGGCTTTTTTCTTGCCACACAGGAAATACACAATATTAAAACAAACAATATTGATCTGAACAAACGCGTAAATTTTCCTCTTACGATTTTATGACTTCCGTCTCCACCGGAAATGTCCAAGAGGCGCCAGAATACCCGTTTCCGGTTTAATGAACGGCCATATTACACTTAGCTTGTAACAAGAGCTGGATGAAAACGCATTATGGGATGTATCTTGAAAGTCCGCGCTGTGATTTACGATGCGAGGTCATCAAACAAAAGAGAGGCTAGTTTTATATCTGCTCTTGTGAGAGGTTTATTGTCCAGTTAAACAGTCAGAACAACGGGACAAATACGCTGTACTCGTCTTGATTTCAAACCTACACTAGAAAGACGATAATGACAAAAATAGATATGTTTTGGCTAGACGAGAAAGTCCACACCCTGTTCGATCTTTTATTTCATGCCAATTAAAGATGCTTATCGAAATATAAAAACATTAGAACACCAGTAATAAAGAGAAAAGAACGAGTTAATCGACTTGTTACTTTTATTTGCAAGGAATGGGACTTACACTGACTATGCTTACCTTAGTCTGACACAAGGCTACAAATAGGCAAAATCTTGCTTCATAAATTATTTTTATCAAATTTGAACCTAATTACGCCTAATTATTTTGATTCAGATGTAAACTGTGGGAACACGGCTTATCAACATTTTACAGGTTATTTAAACAAAAAAAAACATAGTTTAATGATACAAGTCTTACTAATTAATCCAAAGCTGTGGGGAGAAGAAGTAGATTCATACCTTTCCCAAGGATATGTGCGCGTAAAGTAACGACTGGAATTAGAACTCGGCTCTCCAATTTCCAATTCCGAGATATTATTTATTACACCACCTGCACATCGTAGGTTATAGCATCTGGCATTACCTAACGGTCACCCATCTGGATACTGATCAGGATCAACGTTACTTAACTTCGGTGATCGTACGAGAACCGGTGTTTCAACATGATGTGGCCGT